TAGGCCTTATTGAGAATAATATCTCTATACTGAAGAATAAATTTTCAGACGGAGACCATTTAGTCAAAGAAAGACAAACTGAGACCTTTTCCCATGTCCTAATTTTGCCGTCATGTCTTCTCTCAAAAAAGATAGGCGAATTAGTAAAGAAGTGGGGCATAAAAACAGTGTTCAAAGAAACGCTCACACTTCTTCTATTATGCCATCTTTTAGAGAGAAATATGACCCAATATCGACATCCAGCTGCTACAAGATTGTTTGCTCATGTGGGCGATGTTATGTTGGTGAGACATGCCGACCTATTCGACAAAGATTGAGAGAATACAAAAACGCTTTTTAAGGAAGCTTGGTCCAACGGTCAGAAGTGACCGAACATATAGTAGAGACTGGACACGAAATAGAATGGTCTCAAACTAGTAGGTTGGTACGTATGTGGTTAAAAGTAAGATAAGAGAGGCTACTGAAATTAATAGCTTAGAAAATATGTTGAATGTGAGGAGTGGTGGTAGAAAATTGAGTAGGAACTACTCATGCTTGATTGATAGATTGAAAGTGAGAAAAGCTGTTGAGTCGCTCAATTTTTCTGCTCAGTGATGGTTCTAATTTCACTCACATTCGCCCAAAATGTTAGAGTAAGCTCTTCAACCAAACCAGACATGTCAGATTACGCAACCCCAGTCTTTCCTTTCCTTGGAAGTTAAACGTTAATGACTCTAGACTGGAAGGTTAGTACAAATGGTTTCGTAACTTGATTTTCATGCGTACAAGCTCATATTTCATTATCTCAACAATACTCGGTCAAGTCATTCTCTTGGTTCATTGGGTCATTGGGTCTTGAGGATCAGAACCTGAGATTAAACCTTTTAAAACTCTGATTTAGGAACCGTATTGCCTATAGACACTAACACACACACATACACATACTCATACAATCGAGCAAAAGTGACAGGATCAGTATGAAAGATGATTAACCAAACCACTCTATATCAATATATCTAGATTTTTTAGTTTTTTGGCTCGATTGAGTCTATATAAGAAGTAAGATAGAGCCGGATAGTCTTCTTGCTCCAGTGTTAACGTGATACTTTTACAAAAACGATCCCCAGCTCTTATGATGTCGAGTATATGATGGACGAAAGCTCAGCACGTTTTGATCCGAAATGAGAGAGGAAGTCTCGTGGACTGATTCAACATGAATATCGTATAAAAGCCAAACGGCTGCAGTATGACGACATTTATCCGTTCTCATCTGATGAGATCGACCAGCGAATCTCTTCTTCATACACTTTCATACGAAATGAAAGTCCCCTAACAATAAAAATATTAATTAGAGCCTTAAGAGCCAAAAAGAAGATTCATTCTAGTCCTAAATAGGCTACAAAGAAGAAATAAGATAGATCCCCATCAAATAATGGGATATCTGTAGATTCAATCATAAATTAATGTAGCAAGTAAGGAAAATTGAAAAAAATTGAAAAAAATACATAAATTATACAGGGGAAGAGCCTATTTCATATGAAAGGGAGTCAATAAAGTCATTCTCATCTAAACTCAAATAAATTCAATTCCTCTGAACTCAACGCATTTCACATCTCATTTCAAATTATATAAGCTGATATCATATCCTGTTATCTAATGTAATCTCATCCCATATCATCTCGAAACATGTCAGCTCAATTGAGTTCCTCTTGTATCATCTCATCTCAACATAATAACTCAACTCATATCATCTTAAATCAGTTTATTTAACCTCATCGCATCTTAAAAGATTTCATCTCATCCACTCTCCATTTATCTCCTCTCGTCTCATCACATCTCACCTCATATGGTCATCTCATCTGATCACTTATCATAAAATCTTATCTCATTTAAACTCATCTAATCTCCTCGCGTCTCGCATAATCTCATTTCATATTATATCATATGGTGACATTTTGTATCGTCTCATCTAATCTCATTTTATTTCATGACATCTCATCCTATCTCATTTTATCTCAACTCATGTGATATCCACTCATATCTTATCTCATCTCAACTAATATAATCTTAGTTTATCCTATCATATCTCATTTAATCTCGATACATCTCAACTCATCTCATCGCATCGAAACTTATCTCCTATCATCTTATCTCAATTAATCGGATTTCATTTCATATCATTGCTGCTCTTAACTCATCTCATCTTATCTTATATCAAATAATCTTATATTATATCATGTCTCCTCTCATTACATCTCAATTCATCCCAGGAATTGTCAAATTTTCTAATATATTTTTATTTAATTTCATCTTAATTCAAATTATCTCATCAAATTTTAAATTACATCATATGATATTATCTCCTCTTATCTCGTTTCATTGCATTTAATCTTGTAGCATCCCCAAAAATTTCAAATAATGAAGACCAATTTCATCATAACTCATTTAATCTTTTTTGATTCCATCTAAACTCATCTAATGAAACTTCAGGTCAGTTCAGCTTAGCTCTTCTCGAGTCATCACAAGAAACTTCATCGCGTTTCATACTCTCTAATCTTATGTTATATCACCTCTCCTCTCATTTCATCTCAAAACTTCCCATATCACACCCCTTATATTAATTTATCTGCTGTCATCTCATATCGTCTCATATCAAATAACCCCATCTCATCTTATCGCATATCATCTCATATAATCTCAAATAAACCCGCCTCATCTGGTCTTATCCCATCCTATCTCATCTCTAACTTCAACTAATTTCATTGCAACCCATCTATATTCATCTTTTACATCAGATTTCTCCTGTCAAATATTCTAGGCTCATCTCAGGCAATCTCATCTCATCTTATCTTATCTTGATCCTAGCTCAATCTAATTAATAATATCATCTGAAAACGCCTCCTTTACGCTTATCTCATATCATTTCAGATCATATAATCTTAGCACTTCTTAATTAACTTAAACTCATAAAACCAGATTTAGCGTAACTCATCTAATCTCAATTAATTTAATATCATGGAATCCCATCATATTGCCTCTCATCACGCAAACTATCTCATCTAAATTATACTCGCATTACATGTGATCTTGTCTAATTATTTTTCAACTCATGTAATCGCATTAATCTCATCCAAATTGTTTTCTTCACATCTCATCTGATGTTAACTCATATACTA